CTTGGGGGTTAGAGATTTAGCTCAGTGGTGTCCGTGCTTGCCTTGCAAGCACATGATCCTGAGTTCAATCCCTGGTATCCAAAAAAAAGGAAGAAGAAAGAAAGTATTAACTTGGGCCTGGATGCATGCCTGTAACCCCAAGACTTCAGGAGGCTGAGGGAGGAATATCACAATACAGAAAGGTCAAAAAAGAAAAAGTTAGGGTGGGGCATTTAGCTCAGTGGTTCCGCTGCCTGCCTTGCAAGCACAAGGTACTGAGTTCGATCCCTGGTACCAAAAAAAAAAAAAAAGTTAATTCTGCTGTTTCTGTCACTAAAGGAACTATTTAAAGTTTCTCAAGTGCTTCCTAGAAGTAATTTTAGGTGTATGCTAGACTAGATCTATGTCTGTCTTTGGGTCTACATTGTTTACATTGCAGGGATAGATAGTAACATATCCATGTCTCTACAGAATACTCTTTTTCCTGACAATATATGTTGCACATGGCTTCATCTCACCAGCTACAGATGATCATTGTTCCTTTTCAAAGCTGTGCAATAGGGCTAGAGATGTAGCCAAGTGGTACAGTGCTTGCCTAGCATGTGCGAGGCCCTGGGTTCAATCCCCAGTATCGGGAGGCAGGGACTGTACAGTATTCTCTTGTGTAGATGAACCATAATTCATTTAATGAGGCCTCATTTGATGGGCATTTTGGCTGCAGAAATTGCAATGTGGCAGACTTTGGGTGGGTATACTATATCTCTAAGGTGAATTATTGGTGTGGGATTGTCTCATCAGTTTTGCAAGAATGGGGCCATTTTGACAGTATTAGTTCTTCCTCTCCTGGAACAGGGAATATGTTTCCTTTTTATTCTTTTTTGTTGTTGTCGTTGTTGTTTGAGACAGGGTCTCCCTATGTAGTTCAGGCTGGTCTTGAACTCATTGTGTAGCTCAGGTTGGCCACCAACTCTGGCAATCCTGCCTCACTCTCCTGAGTGCTAGGATTACAGGCATGTATGTGCCACCATGACCAGCATGGTTCATGCTTTTGGTAGAAGTATATGAGCATACTCTTTTCTCTGCAGCTTTGCTAGCCCTGGCTTTACGTATTTTGCCAATTTGAGAAGTAAAAAATTGTTATTTTGATTTGCATTTCCTTTAATTTGGGTGAGGTTATGTGGCTGTAACAGCCATCTCATACTTATTAAACTTGTTTTGTTTTTTTGGTACCAGAGATCGAACTCGGGTCCTTGCGCTTGCGCAGCAGGCGGCGAAACCACTGAGCTAAATCCCCGGCCCTCATTCTTATTAAACTCTTGTATCTCTCTCTCCTCCTCCCCACCATAACCTGCCAGTTCTTTGTCCATTTTTAAGTGAGTTGTTGGACTTTTTTGTCCTTGGTCTGTATGCATTTTGTTAATAAAGGAAGTTAATTCTTGTCTTTGGGTTACAGTTTCTTTCTCTCAATTTGTTGTTTGTAAAAGTGCCCTTTGAACCATGCTACACAGTGTACATTTAAAGCTTTCATCATCATTGATATAGGGAGCATTGAATGAATACTCTATTTAAGGAAATAAACTAGGCTTGCTATCTCCTGTTGGAGAAGTGGGCTCCTGGTTAGGGAAATTTGAATATAAGGAGTAATTTGAAGTTGGGGTAAAGTCCTTAAAATGGAATCCTATGTGAATACAGATTGCATCAGACCTTTTTCTTTTTTGAAATTTCCCATGTCCATATTGAACGAACTGTTTTTTCCTCTCATTCTGCAAGCTGAAGATTTTTAAAAGAAAAAACTGGGCCGGGGATTTAGCTCAGTGGTTCTGCCACCTGCTTCACAGGTGCAAGGACCCAAATTCGATCCCTGGTACCAAAAATAAAAAATAAAAATAAAATAAAAGAAAGAACTAAGGCTCTGAAGAATGAATAAACTGAAATGATGTATGTTTAAAGCTAAATGCAAGAAGTAAAATGTAGTTCTTAGGTTTTATTTGTTTTTTAATCCCTGATTATATATTAAAGTCTTGGTTTACTTTTTAAATTTTTTTGGTGGTACTGAAGACTGAGCCCAGGGACTGAGGACTGAGCCCAGGGACTGCTGTATGCTAGCCAAACCTAATGTGAAATTTAAAAAGAAACTGCCAAACATGGCTATCATCAAGAAATCAAATAATAACAAATGCAGGTGAGGCTGTGGTGAAAAAGGAACCCTTCTGCATTGGTAGCAGGAATGTAGATTAGTACAATCACTATGTAAATCAGTGTGGAGATTTCTCAGAAAAATAAAAGTAGAAATTTCATTTGACTCAGTTATTCCCCTTCTTGGCATCTTCCTGAGAAAGTGAAAATCATATTACAGCGATACATGCAGCCAGGCATTGAAGCACACATCTGTAATCCTGGCACCTGGAAGGCTGAGACAGAAGGTTGCCATGTGTTCAAGGCCAGCCTGAACTACATAGCAATACCCTGTCTCAAAAAACAAAACAACCCAGGTGTGGTTGGCACATGCCTGTAATCCCAGCACTTGTGAGGCTGAGGCAGGTGGATCATGAATTTGAGGCCAGCCTGGGCTACATAATGAGTTCAAGGCCAGCCTGGACTATGTAGTGAAAGGCCCTGTCTAAAACTAAACAAAATAAAACAACAACGAAATAAAAAAATAAAAAGATACAATGATACAGGCATACCCATGTTTATAGCAGTATAATTCATAATAACTAAATCTTGGAAATGACTTATGTCTATTAGAAGATGCATAGGTAAAGAAAATGATATTTATATACATTAGAGTACTACTCTACTGTAAAGAAAGAAACTTGAGGCATTTGTAGGAAAGTAGATGTACCTTGAGACCATAATATTAAGTGAAATAAATCAGGAACACAGCTTAAACATGGCACGGGTCCATGTTATCACGCCCCCCCCCCCCAACAGAGGATTGAACTCAGGGCTTTACACTTGCCAGGCAGACACGGCGCCACTGAGCTACATCCCTGGCCCTAGCACAATTTTTTTTGGTACCAGGGATTGAACTCGGGTCCTTGCGCTTGCACAGCAGACGGTGAAACCACTGAGCTAAATCCCTGGCCCAAGCACAGTTTTTTTAATAGGAGAAACCCAAAGTGTAAATAAATTAAACAGCAAAATAAAAGATAATAGGAAAGAGAGAGATAGATCTTTTGCAAATGGGAAAGGAACCAAGAGATAAGAGGGAGGTGGAGTGTAGAGGAGGAGAAAGGGATGTAAGAGGAATTACAGTTTGTTATGTACATGTACCAACTCTCCATGGTGCATGTAATCATTGTGTACAAATGTGCACCCTCTCCAAAGAAAAAAGTTTCTGGGATGGCTAGGGTAATGTGTGAAGTCCCAAATGCAATCAGAGAGAAGAACAGTGGTTCTGATAGAAGTGCAATGTACCTACTCTGAGCTTGCAAGGCACTAGAGCAAGACACCACCAAACAGTAGGATACCCCTAATTCCTTCCTCCCATAAACTTTGATTTTTTTTTTTTTTGTACCGGGGATCGAACTTGGGAACTTGCGCTTGTGAGGCAGGCAGCAGAACCACTGAGCTAAATCCCCGGCCCCCTCCCGTAAACTTTGGATCTCAGAGCCTACCCTGCCCAATACCAGAAGCTTCATCACTGCAATAAAGAACATGGAAGATCACAGAAGTGGGTCCTCGTGTCTGATGTATAACACCATCCTATCTTATGAAAATTTTGCTTAAAATATATTATATGAAAAGAAAGAATGCAAAACTGCACCACTTTGGGCCGGGGATTTAGCTCAGTGGTTCCACTGTCTGCCTCACAAGCACAAAGTCCTGAGTTCGATCCCCAGTACCAAAAAAAAAAAAAAAAAAGACCAGAGGAAAACAATTGTAGGTGATTGTTACTTTCCTCTTAAATACAGTAGATTTCTCATTCTCTCTCTTTTTTTTTTTTTTTAAGGTACCGGGGATCAAACTCAGGACCTTGCACTTGTGAGGCAGGTGTGGCCCCAGAGCTAAATCCTCAGCCCAAGATTCCTAATTTTATAACTAAATTTATAACTTTTCACAATAGAAGTTTCTCATTTTGTACTGGGGATCGAATTTGGGACCTTGCACTTACAAGGCAGGCGGTGGCACTACTGAGCTAAATCCCCGGTGCAGAAACTTTTTTTTTTTGATCCAGGGTTTTCCTGTAGTTCAGGCTGACCTTGAACTCACTATGTAGCCCAGGCTGGCCTCTTGCGGCAGTCCTCCTACTTCAGCCTCCCGAGTGTTGGGATTACAGGTATTTGCTGCCCTGCCTAGTTGAAGGCTTCTCCAGGGCTGGAACTGTGTGTCTCTTTGGTCTTGACTTTTTCTCTAAAGAGTCTCTAAGCAAATATTTATTGAATGCATTAGCAAATAATTGAATTTACCCATGAGGGCATTTTTTTTTTTCTGATACTGGAGATTAAAGCCAAGGCCTTTGCACTGAGCAATATTCCCAGATCTTTATTTATTTATTTTTTTGGTACCGGGGATCGAACTTGGGGCTGTGAGCTTGCGACGCAGGCAGTGGAACCATTGAGCTAAATCCCCGGCTTTCTTTTTTTTATTTTTTATTTTGAGACTAGGTCTCACAAGTCCCTAAATTGCCCAAAGCTGGGCTTGAAATTTCAATTGTCTTTCCTCAGCCTCCCAGCTTGCTCAGATTATAAGTAAGTGCCATCAGGCCTGCTCAGCTAGCAAATGTTTTTGATGTTTTGAGCGTGCCCCTCAGAGACATAAGTGAGTCCTTGATAAGCAGTGCTAGGAACTGGGTCCTGCTTGGTTCTGAAGACCACAGGATGCAGCATAATGGAGGAGGAGGAGTCAATGGAGGGACACCTGTGGTAGAAGGAGGGAAGGTGTGAAGAAGGGTGTTGACAGGTTGCAGGGAGCTTTGTGTTTTGAATAATGCCTGTCTTTTTTTATATGTAGTGAGTAATGCTGCACTCTGGGCAGACTTTGCCTGAGTTTCATAAATATTTAATTGGCTTTTTCAGGAGAATAAAGGCAGCCCAGTTGATGACTGAAAATGACAAAGCATCCACCTAACAGAAGAGGAATCAGCTTTGAAGTGGGAGCCCAGTTGGAAGCCCGGGACCGTTTAAAAAACTGGTACTTTTACATTTTTCTGTTAATTAATGCCTTTCAGTAAAGGATTTTTGGCAGCACTGATGAGTGGTAGTCTAGGTTTTCTGTGGTGATTTTCTGCTCTTTGACTCTTGGAAGATGATAGAGACTTAAGGTCAGAATGTGGGGCTGTCCTTTCTCTTTGGTGCAGGGATCTGTGTGTCCAGGGGCCCATCCTGTGACCCCTTGGTCTTACTTGTTTCCCTTTTTGGCTGTTCATCTGAAGGAGTTATGGGGAAAAGGACCAAGTGTGGCTATAGGGAAGGAAAAGGTTAATAGTGACAGCTGTCTTGCTTTTGGCTGCCCATGTGGAAGAAGAGAGGAGAGAAAGATCAGGGATAGAAATGAAGGGAACTTAGATCAGGACAGCTCCTGTGTTACACACAGCTCCTCCTGTTTTGTGGGTGAGGTGCGGTGTGCCTGAGATATTGGCATCAAAGAGACCTCGGTCAGGGTGATTTAGATTTACTTGTCTTTGACCACTGGTGAGTAGTCATTTTGTGCACTTACGCTTTTATAAATGTGGGTACTGACTATCGGCCTCATGGGATTATTCTGAGAACCAAATAATAAAATATGTAGGGAGGGGTCTTAAAAACTAAAATGATGTGGTTGAGGATATCTTATGATTTGGTTATTTTTTAGTGCTCAGGGTATGGGTAGAGGTTTCAGAATTCAAATCTTTTGAGATTTTTTGAAGAATAGCTTGGCTTTTGTGGAATTATCTCAAAATAGTTTCTGGGGTATAGAAAGAGAGTCAGGGAAGCTGGGTGTGGTGACACATCCCTGTAATCCCAGCACTCAGGAGGCTGAGGCAGGAGAATTGCTGTGAGTCAGAGGGCAGCCTGTACTATGAAGGGAGACCCTGTCCCCCCCCCCAAAAAAAAAACAAACAAAAAAAGAGGTGCCTGGCAGAAAACTATCTGTGCTATTAGAATTAGAGACACCCAACATAGTTATCTTTAGGCTGTTTGCTTTCTGTATAATTATTTTCTTTTTGATTTATTTTTTTGGTGGTAGTGGGGCTTGAACTCAGAATCTACCTTACCACTGAACTGCATCCCCAGCCTTTTAAATTTTGGATTGATTGATTGTGGTACTGAGGATTGGATCCAGGGAATACTGAGCTACATGCTTTGCAATGCCCTCCCCTGTCTCACTAGGGGCATCCAAGGAGGCACAGCACCAATGGGTGTGGGGCTGAGGCCGTGCCAAGCCCAAAGATAAGTGTGGTGTGTGCATTTTCAAGACAGCCACAGGAGAACTGTTTCACTCACTGATATTCTCTGGACAGAGTCAGAGGAGTTCCCCCAGAGAGGCAGTAAGACCTCAACACAGTCTGCTGAGTAGGTTCTTTTTTTTTTTTGAGACAGGGTCTTGCTATGTAGTTCAGGCTGACCTTGACCTCACTATGTAGCCCAGGCTGGCCTTGAACTTGTGGTGGTCCTCCTGCCTCAGCCTCCCAAGTGTTGGGATTACAGGCATGAACCACCATGCCTGGCCCCTGCTGAGTAGGTTCTTGATTCTCATCACAGAAAAAGAATTTCAGGATATGTCAGTTAGAAGCATAAAAAAGTTTATTAGGCAGAAGGAAATACATACTTGGGAGTGCAGGCACTCAGAGTGAGATGCACTGTGGTTTGGGGTTGGGGGTGAATATGTGCTCTTGGAGGTGTCCTTTAAGATGGGTAATCTCAGATGTTTTGCTTAAAAAACAGTCTTTGAAGACTGGCATGGTGACTCATGCCAGTTAATTACAACACTTGGGAGGCTGAGGAAGGAGGATTTCAAATTAGAGTCCAGCCTTGGCAATTTGGTGACTTAGCAAGACCCTGTATTAAAAAATTAAAAAATCAGGCCGGGGATTTAGTTCAGTGGTTCTGCTGCCTGTCTCGAAAGCACAAGGACCCCAGTACCAAAAAAAAAAAAAAATTTTAAATATTAAAAAGTGTAGCTAAGCGCGAACTGAGGTTCAGTTCCTGGTATCCCTCCCCTGAATCTTTGAATCTTTTTTTTTTTTTTTTTTTGTACCGGAGATCGAACCTCGGGTCCTTGAGCTTTTGCAGCAGGCAGCCAAACCACTGAGCTAAATCCCTGGCCCTGAATCTTTTTCTTAAGGTTAGTTTGCTGCTTTCTTTCACTAATGGTGAACCTTTTATTTTTTAATTTTAATTTAAAATTTTTTTTGAAACAGGGTCTTGCTTTGTAGTTCATGCTGGCCCTGAACTCACTATGTAGCCCAGACTGGCCTCAAACTCAGAGATCCTCCTGCCTTAGCCTCCTGAGTACTGGGCTTACAGGTGTGTGCCACCTTGCCCAGCAATTGCAGTCTTCTTAAAAGTACATTTTAAAATTATGATTTTTCTTACCTCCTTTCAACCTGACTTTATTTCTTCTATTCCACCTCAGAACCCAGGGCCTTGGACATGCTAGACATGAGCTGTGGCTTTGAGCTGCACCCCTAGCCCAGAGGGAAAAAAAATTTTTTTGGTGGTGCTGGGGATGGAATCCAGGGCCTCATCATGCTTGGAAAGCTCTCTACCAGTGAGCTGTATTCTAGCCCAGAAAATGTTTTCAATTTTGCAGAATTAGTTAGCAGTTATGGGAAGGACCTGCTGTTTGTTGAAGGGTCTTTGCCAGGCTCTCAGCATGGGTAGCTTTTCCATTAAATCCTCTCAACTGTGGGGTTATTGTTTCAGTTTTATAAATGGGGGAAGACACTAAGGGTCAAAGATGAAAGTCTCTTGCCTGCTGGGTGTGGTGGTGCAGGCCTGTAATCCTAACACTTGGGAGGCTAAAGCAGGAGGATTGCTGCAAGTTTGAGGCCAGGCTGGGATATATAGTGAGTAGTGAGTTTAAGGCAGGCCTGAATTATACAGCAAGATCCTGTCTCAAAATAAAAGCCAAAAAAAAAAGGAAGTGTCTTGTCCCTTTCAGAGCTGGTGAGTAGTAGAGTTGGGATTTAAATTCCTCTTGATCTTATTGGAAAGATCAGACATGCCCCCCTGATGATTCCTTTTTCTAGTGCTGTTTTTCTGAATACTCTCCCGTATTTTCTGGATTTGCTTTCTGTTATAGAGAAAGAAAAAAAGAAAAAGCATTCAAAGGATTATATCATAATTTTCAAAACCCACGTGCAGCAGAAGTGCATGGATGGCCTAGAATAGGGGTGTGTCTCTCTGTCTCAATGCTTCATGTTTCTAATAGTTCTCTATCTTTGATTTATTTTTGTCTATATTGCTTATACAGAAACCTAGTTTTTCTCTCTTCTTTGTATGCTGCACATATTTTGCTCCTGTTAAACTAACAATAGCAGTGACAACTAACATTTTATCACAGGTTTGCTGTGTCAGGTGTGGTATGAATTGCTTTAGTTGCTTTATTTGGGCTATCTCACTTAATCCTACATTTGGGTGTTAGAGGTTTAGCTCAGTAGTAGAGCACATAGTTATAATTTTCCTTGCCCTAAATTTATTTTATTTATTTATTTGACACTGGGAATCAAACTCAGGACCTTGTGCTTGTGAGGCAGGCACAATGTGACTGAGCTAAATCCCCGGCCCTCCTTGCCCTAAATTTAAATCCCAACATAAAAACAAATTTGGAACTGAGGTCCAGATTTATGTTTCTTTTTGGTTGTTGTTTTGTTTTTTTGGAGACAGGGTTTTGTTATGTAGTTCAGGCTGCCCTTGAACTCACTATAGAACTCAGGGTGGTCATCCTGCCTCAGGCTCCCAAGTGCTAGGATTACAGGGCTCTACCACACCCCAGGCCAAGGCTCAAATGTAAAATGATGTGCCCAAGCCATGAATTATTTACTGTGTAATCTGAGACACACCTGCTTCTTTCTTTTTTGTCTTCTTGGTTTTTTTTGTGATGCTGGGAATCGAACCTAAGACCTTAGACCTAGTTGGAGAATTAACAGTCTCTATGGAAAAAGCTAAATCTGGACTTTCTTTGTTTCTTTTGGGACAGGATCTTCCTATACAAGTCAGAGTGGCCTTGAACATGTGCCACCATGCCCAGTTTTAAACCTGGACTTTTTTATATAATAGTTCAAGGCCAGCCTGAACTATGCAGAAAAAAAAAATCTGCTGTTTCTGTCTTTTTCTCCCCTGGTGCTAGTTACTAGGCAAGTGCTCTACCACTCAGCTACATCTCCAGCCCAGACACACCTATTTCTGCTGACAGCAATGTTCTGTGTACCTTACCAGAATTTATTTGTAAGCCAGGTACACACTTGTAATCCAAGCATTTGGGAGGCTGAGCAAGAGGATCACCAAATCTGAGGCCAGTGTGGGCTTTAGAGTGAGTTTAAGGCCAGTATGAACTAGTGAGACCTTGTCTCAAAAAATTAAAATTAAAAAAAAAAAGAATTTGTGAAGCACACAAATACAGCTTGTTTCAAATCATAGGATCCCATCAGGAGGCAGAGGCAGGAGGATTGCTGCGAGTTGGAGGCCAGCCTGGGGTACATAGTGAGTTCAGGGCCAGCCTGAACTACAAAGCGAGACCCTGTTTCAAAAAACCAAAACCAAAAATTACAGGATCCCAAAGAAATGATAAAATTAGGATTTTTATTTTATTAAAGAGAGATGCTTATAAATTATAGATTTAAAATTTGAGGGTATAGCTCAGTGGTAGTGTTTGCCAGGACATGCAAGAGAGTTTGGGTTCCATACCCAGCACCAGGGGAAAAAAAGACAGAAAGCCTAGATTCCTTTTTTTTTTTTTTTTTTGCTACATAGTTTAGTCTGGCTTTGAACTCACTATTATGTGAAAAAGCCCAGATTTTCTTTTTTCCCTAGTTTTAAAAATGTTGACATATTTTTTTTTTGTTTTTTTTCTGGAACCGGGCATCGAACTCAGGATCTTGTGCTTTTGAGGCAGGTGCAGTGCCACTGAGCTAAATTCACAGCCATTAAAACCCCAGATTTAAAGCTGGGGATGGTGGCACACGTTCAAGGCCAGCCTACCTGTATAGA